GGGGGGGAGGGAGGAAGAACTTACGAAATTACTTTTGCACGCTCCTGTAAATATCGTGACGCGTTCGAGAAAACGCCTGCTTTTTCTCTTGCGGAAAGAAGGCAGGAACATGATGCAGTGATATCCTATTTCCTAAGACCCTGATAATTATGTTGCGCCTTCGGTATAGTGAGAGCTTCGTGGAGAAAGCGGTCGATGCTAGGAATTGTGTACGTTACGACGTAGTACGACGCGTTTTGCTATCTCGAAGGAAAAGCGAATCTAAGTCTACGAGCGTGCACAACATAAAATATAATCTCTACTAGAAATAAATATATACTTAAATATATATATATATATTTTTTTTCGGTATATATGTATGTATGTTTGTAACGACAAACTGCGGCGGGAATATATAATGTTACGAGGGTATTTATAGAGTGTTAAAGTCTCTTAAAGATTTAAAACGGCATGTATATAGGCGTAAATAATTTTCTCGTATCGAGAAACGCGACAGAATGATCGTCTGTTAACGTCTAAACGATCGCGGGAAACGCGTCGTACCGTCGTTTAAGGAATCCAGCCACTCGGACGAAACCTCGAGATAAACATTGAGAGCTGTTCTACGTTACGGCTATATTAAACTGTACAATCGTCTAAACTTTATTAACGTCGTCAACGGTTACCTGCTACTATTCTCGTTATGCGGGATGAGAAGCATTATCGTAGCGAGGATGCTGTATATCGTATTGCTATAATAAATGCCAGCGCGCGGCTTTTTTTTCCTGATGCATGTGCAGCGAAATTGGAAAAAAAAATATATACTATATATATATATATTTATATATATGTATATATATATATAAATATATTGCGATATATTTACAATACGCGTGCTCGGCAATACGTATAGGAGCAAGCGATATAAACGGTAATGCCCGGTTCCAGTGATTCGAGGCGTTTCAGATTTTCCGATGGAAATTACTTTCGAGTTTGCGACCCTCGCAAACGTAAATTTGTGCCTTTGCCACGAGATACGAACGCGCGACGTTAATCGCTGATTACATTACATTACATTTTTACATAGGTAAATTTTATCTTTGCGGAAAGAGCCGGACGTGAATCGCAGGAACCGTTCGTTCCTATTTGCACGCTTATCTCGCTTACGGACGCGTCTCCAGAAACGACAGTTTACGAGTCAGAAACGTGAGTTTTATACGTGGTTTTCAATTTTACTATATCATTATAAAAACGCTTACTACGTTCGTTTTCTTTTATTTAACATCGCTGAAAGATTCAAACGAGCCAAGCAGAGTACGGCGGTAAAATTGGATATTCAACACGCGCCTTAACACGACTCCTCTTTTCTACTGCAAGCCGGTTTTGCCTGTCGCGCCGAACAAAGAGATTCAGCTGATATATATCATTCGCGCGACGTTAACGCCTGGACATTCAGAGAAACCGTAATCTGAAATTTAGAGTTCGGGATTGCTCGGGGAAGGGAACCGATTCAAGTTGCCCCGTCGCGGTGCGCTTCGCAATTAAGCCAGTCGTTATTACTAATTACTGTACACTCAGCCCTCGCTGCACGCGCGACCCATTATTACTCGGACGAAGGGGTAGGGAAACAGTTGGAAAGCCTATTTGCGAACTCAATCCGGGAGAAGTCCGTTCCGCGGAGTTTCCAGATATCCGAAGTCTCTACGAAGTTTCGCGAGACACACTCCTGATGAGCTCAAGTCGCAACTATCGGCAACTATACCGATCACGCACCTATCCTCGAGCCTCCGAAATGTGTATCGAGAATTTTATTGTATCAAAATACTCTAGATTTACCATATTTTACATTTAACACTTTCTCCTTTATCAACCAATGCTCCCGATGCACACGCTCCTTTTTTTTCTCTCTCTCTCCTTAGTAACGATTTCTCTCCTCGTCGAGACGCGATCCTATACAAGCCGATCTTCCCAAATCGCGTGTACACGCGTCTTCGTCCGTATTATACTCTCTCGTTACTCCACGACACGCTTTTCACTAGTATAATGAAATACCGGAAGATCGGCTGCTTCCCTGCCGGGGCAACGAGATGGATAACTTTTATACTATGCAATCACCTGGTAACGCGGATACGATATATTATCTTAAAAAAATTCGGTGTTATACTTTCTTTTGTCAAAAGCACTTCTCTATTATTTCTATACACACGTGACATACTCTTTCTCTTTTAAAATCTCCAGAAACGGTTAGATTCTATCGAAACTGGAACGAATCTTGCATCTCGAGAATTTTCAAAATATTTGTATTTTTAGGGCAAAAAAAAGAAATTAAAATTCTCGCCTAAATATAGATAGAAATACTCGCGATATGGACATGTGATATACAGATGTTAATTTTGTTAAGCTTCTTTTAACTATTTTAATTGCTTTTCGTAGAATGGAAGATACTTTATCGTATCTATCCTTTTTGAAAGATTGAAATGCGATGTTCAAAAGCAAATCTGATTTGACGCTTCGAGTCGCATTATTTATTTGTATTAGCTTCGCTCGACGAACTTGCGAGACGTGTGTTATTTTTGGCTTGCCGTTCTTACGCACTGCCGAGAAATTCGCTTGTCGAATCTCAAGTCAGGTTTCACGCGAAATGAGCAGATCGTTCCGTTAGTCTTAACTGATTGTGAGTCTCCATCAAAATGTTAATCGAATCGTTCGCGTTCGCGGGGTACGTAACGAGATTCAAATTGAAGCGAGAGTAAACGAGAGCGCGATTGGATACAGAGTGTTTTGCAGCCGGTGCAGTAATATTGACTTATGATGAATAGGGCGGACAAAGGAAAAGTACAGCAAAGAGATGGAAACCGAGGAGTGCAGAATAGGAATATCTCGGCGATCGACAAGACCCGTCCCAGCGAACTCAATGTATTGCGTTTATATATCACCTAGTTTGCCGTTACTACCTACTGATTGTTTACGTCACCCGATTCCGTATCTGTAAAATCCGAGGCTAAAAACGTCGAGATCTACGATTCTGTGCCGTGCAGGAAACTGAAACGTGATCAGACTGGTAGGCCCCTAATTTGCACCCGTTAGTCTTTCCCCCCTTCTATCTCCCCCCCTCCCCCCCCCTCCACCCTTTCTTATCCGTCACGTTTAAAGTTATTGTGAAGATTGTGAATCGTGGATTGTAGACACGCTCTTATTGCAATAATTTTCCTACGAGGTACCCGCAACTCTTGAGGAAGAGACTTGTGACTTTATTTTACATGCGAGGGTGAAAAGTTTGTCTTTTTTAAAATATATATATACGTATATACAACACACACACACATACACACATGCATTCTTTCTTCCTCTCATCTATCTTTCTCTCTCAATATAAATTATTACGTATTATAGGACTATGCGCGGCGTATATTGCATCCAGGTCTATTTTAACTTACCATATACGAACTGCGAGTTAGAGTTAATTATTTACAACCTTGAGATTACGCTGTAACATATCGTGCTACAGGTGTATGTGTGTACGCGTATGACAAGGAACTCTGGTTTATAGAAATCATTCTTCCGCTGTTTGTCTCGAATTGGCCCTGAAACAACATTTCCCAAATTCGAAATGATAAAAGAAACAAGAATGTCTCTTTCTAAACTGAAAAGGCAATATATATTATTATTGAAGTGCGCGATCTCAAATATATTTTTAGTTGAAATTTTTCTTTACGTTAATTAAATAGCGAAAAAAAAGAAAATATGATTGTTTTTTTTTACGATGATTTATCAAGAGGGGAAAATTCTGATTTTTTTAAAATTAGGATTGTGTCTAACGTCAAAAGTGTGAAAAAACGTATCATCCAAACACGGTTCATCAATAGAACAGAGATTAATGGGTTGTGTATCTTATGATTTTGTGAATATCGTTAAAAGTTCGAGCAAGATTCGGGAATAATTGCCTCAGGACTAACTTATGTGTCCGTACGAAGGTACGAACAGAGAAAAGCAATCCCGAAAGGAATGAACAGTTGATACATGACAGAAAAAACTTCGGGCGTGTTTAAGAAAAAGAAACACGTATCTATGAAGCCACGGCTCTTGATTATGAAACACTACGCGCCTACGTTTATTTACCTAATTGTTCGACAGCTTAGCTTCTATTACGAACACCATCTTTTCCATACACCGTCGCGACAATGCGCTTCTTTCTTTCTGCATTGCTATCCACCGTCAAAGATCTGATTACGTTTGACCCGCAACAAGAGAAGGACACGAAACACTTGTTGCCGCGCCAGCGAACGGACGAACGAACGAACGAACGAACGAACAGGTGAGCGAACAAGTGAGCAAACGAGCATGCGAGCGATTTGGTAACATCTTTACATTTTATTTTCGTCCAACGGCCTCTCGTCAGACCACTCGCGTATTGCCCTGAGTATTGTTTGTACGTTAATATCTACATGCCCTTCCGCGGATTTTGTGAGATCAAAGACGGTTTCAAGCAGTTACCTCTCTTTCTCTCTCGTTCCGTTGAGTTTTCTCCGCTCAACGGTACACCGGCTAATCTCATCGATCGAGCGGAACGTCCTCGAAGTTCGTTACATTACCGAAGTGCTGAAAGCCGTTCTTGAAGATCCGTCCCCGGCTGGTGCCCGCCTTCATCTGATCGAGCAACGTCACGTTGTCCTCGAAGTCCTTCACCCACCTCGCGGTCTCGTGACCCCAGTGAAATCGAATCGGCGCGGCATTGTGATAGACCTTCTTGATGCCGAGGCTACGTATCTCAATGCCCTCGTCGGAGTGGTAGAACGACTTCTCGCAGAAGTCCTGGCCCAGGAACGGCTCCAGCTCGGAGACGATCTCCATGAAGGTCGGACGCTCGCTGGGCCGCCACTTGAAGCACTTCTCCATGATCTTCTGTATGGTCTCGGGACAGTTGCGCGGTACGTTTAGCATGCCTTTGCGTAACACGTGATGCAGCACCTCCTCGTTCGAGAAACCCTGATACGGTATCTCGGCGAGGGTGAGTATCTCGTAGAGCACGACACCGAATGACCACACATCCGAGTCGGATGTGAATACGCCGTCGGAGAGGTTCTCCGGCGCCATCCAGCGTATCGGCAGCAGGCCCTTCTTGCCGATCTTATAGTAATCGGTCTCGTAGATATCTCTCGCCATGCCAAAGTCGCCGATCTTGCAGACCAGGTCCTTGGATACCATGCAATTGCGGGCGGCTAGATCGCGGTGCACAAATTTCTTCGATTCCAGATAGGCCATACCGTCAGCGATTTCCGCGGCCATTCTCATTATCCTGGACGCGTTCGGCACCATCTGAGTGTCACGTATCCTACGCAGGTACGTCTTTAAATCGCCGTTCTCCATCAGCTCCATGATGACAAATGGCGGATTGCCCATGGAAACTACGCCCAGCAACTTGATGATGTGCCATGTCGAAAAGTTCTTCATGACCGAGGCCTCGTTCAGGAACTCGTTCTTTTCCCGTTGACTGGCGGTTTCGGAGATCGTTTTGATAGCTACTTGTCCAGTACCGTCCAGATATCCTCGGTAAACCATGCCGAAGTTACCCAGACCGAGCTCCTCCAGGATCTCGACGTTCTCTCTGGGTACTTCCCAGCTGTCAACGACATACTTGGTCTCGATATAATCTGGATTCACGCTTGCTATCAAGCGTTCCTGCGTCTTCTTCTTCTGGTGGCTCCTGACAAGGAATATTATCGTGATCACAGCGATGATTAGCACAGCTACAGTCAACAGCGTTGCCATCATTATTTGACTGTTATCCGATAGACCGACTGAGAAGTAAACTGTATTGGTGAAGATGCCATCACCCGCTAGTGACGTGGAACGCATTCTCAGGCTGTATTTACCCGGACTGAGGTTTTTGAGGTAATAATTGATGTATTTATCCTTGTTACCGATGTGCGGTACGCACTCGGTACTTTTCCTCGCATCCTTCACGTCCTGATTCGTGTACTCAATGGTGTACGAGACAGTGAATGCGTTTGGATTATCAACTGATTCCCAAACGACTTCGACTATCGTATCGTTAGTCACATGAACCTTCATGTTGTGAACATCGTCCGCGTTCGGTCGCTTCAACGTCCGGACGTTCGCATACTGAATGGTCGAGCACATCGATACATCGCTCTCCTTGACGCCACACGCAGCAATTGTGATGGTGTACAAAGAATAATGGCGCAAGTTCTTCAAAAGATACGAAGTATTTTGCGCGCTGACATTGTACAGGTGCGTCTCCTCGCTCAATTGGCTACCAGTGTTAACGGAACCATCTGTCGCAATTTTCTGCCCGTCATGCGTCGAGGTGGATAAATTGTTTGTCACATCATAAAATTTATTCTCCGGTGAATTGTAGTTGTTAAAGACGCAGTAGTCCTTCCAGCCGGGCGACAAATGGCTGATGGTCATATTCTTGTGGCAGAATATCTCGAACTGCTTAGAAGTCTTTGTGTCCTTTAAACAGCAGGAATTGGGATTCGAGATCAGCGACGTCTTAATCGTCACCTCATGCACCTCCTTGGCTTCGCTAACCAAAGTATCGACACAGTAATCACGAGAGGCGATCAGTTTCTGATCGTCCGGTCGAATCGTACTGGAGATCATGTAGTAGCCTATAGGACCGTTCGTGTACACCGGCGGGCCCCATTTGAGTAGAATTTCACTGTCGCTTAAAGCGGTCGAGCTCACGTTCGTCGGCACCGAAGGTATCGCGCTCTTCGTCCGGAAAAAGATAATCTCCGATTGGCCGACCGGAGTTGGAGTTACGAAGGAATTCGAAGAATTCTTCTTCTTGTTCTTCGTCGTGAATGTTTTCACATACGCGGCATACTTGGTGTACGGTTTCAAGTTGGTGATATACTTCGAAACGGTCAAATTCGAACTCACAACATCCACGATTTGCCACGTGTTATTACCGCAAGCGTTCGCCTCGTACGTTATATTTTCGTTCTCGGTCTCTATGTAATTTAGCAGATAGTTGAGCAGCTGTTGGCCCTGCGGTGGCTTATAGCCGTCCCAATTCAAAATCACATGATCCGCATCCCGCTCCTTCACCGTGATGTTTATGTTGTCGATACTGCAGGCAACTTTGTCGCCGTTCGATTCCGGCTGGACCTCGAGAGCGGTGAAGTTGGTGATATTCACCATTTTACCGAGCTGTACTATCTTGGAAAGACAGAGCTTGGGATTATAATGAAAGAACAGCCTGCCATTCTCTATCGTTAGGTTTTGGGTTGGCGGAAAGAGGGCGGAGAGATTCGGATTGTCCAGAACCACCAAACTCGCGTTGTTTAAGTCTAGATTTTCACCCCTGATCACTTTCAGCTTCTTGAAGAAGTTCAGCGATGTGATCGGAAAAGAATGCGTTATCTTCAGGTACTCGGTTATCTCCTCGATTAAACCGAACGCGTCCGCCAATTCGTTCATTATATTTGGATTACCATTTCTGATTTGAAACTCCAAAGCCCCCTTCACTACTGTTATACCGCGAAAACTCTGAGCGTCCGAAATATGCCGTATGATAGCACCTTTTGCGATTTTACGGCACAGTCCCTTGCATTCCCGACAGCTTGTTACCTGTAATGTAAAATAAAAGAGTGAAGAAAAAGGATCAAATAACAAGGATACGGATATTACTTGTAGTGAAATACAAGAGGCTATCGTACATTTTTGTCGTCGACATAATCTTCAAAACCATCGGGACATTGAGTGACACAGGAACGAAAGGATCCCATGTCTTCGAAAGGTCGCCATGTCTGTATTTCCTCCAATTTAGAAAATTTTCTGATATGATTCATGTTGTAACATTCCTCCTCGTTAATGCACCGTCTCGAGAGATATGCATATCTGTGAACAGAAAATCATTGTTACAACAAAACAGGAGATCCTTCTTATTAAAGATAGAATGTAGTTTATTACACTGATACTATAGAACCAACATTATGTCATGAAAACTTTGAGTGCGTTTGTTTACAATATAATGTATGATATCAAATTTCGAGATATTTTATGAAATATTTTATGAAAACGTGTAATTATGGAAATTCAATATTTGTTTGCTTTCAAAAGTTCCGTAATTTTCAACATAAAATTTTTGAAAATTTTATATAATTTCAAATTAAATTTATTTTAATATAATTTTAATTTTTCAATACCACGCCATTTAAAAGCCGAATATTTAAAAAATGCAAAAATATCGTGATCCACTCAAGCAAATGTTTGCCAAGAAAAGAGATTAATTCTAGCTTATTAAAAACTCGATAAAAAAAATTGGTAATTCCCTCGGGATATAATTTACATAATTTAAATTAAGCAATTTTAGTTTTAAACTACAGACCTGCATTATTCATGTTATATTTATGTGCAAGATATAAGAAAAACGTACAGTATAAGCTTTAGTTACTTTTCTTTTTCGTTGTACGCATTTTCAACAAAAGATACTCACAATGTTTCCGGACATTTTTCAATGCATTTTTCCTCGTGCCGATAATGCTTGCATACATAACACTCGGTATTGGTTGCACCGTAACATTCCCCGAGACATTGCTCATGGCATTTTGGTTTCTCTAACTTCTGGCAATTTTGGGCAGTCCAGCAATAACTGCCAGGACAGTGAGGGCATCCTGCGAAGTATTATTTATAAAAGGAACATTATTTTTTTGCGTTGCATAATCAGCTTTTTAATTCTCTGAGAAATAATGTTTAGTTGCACGCAGTTATCTCTTTATTATGTATTTATTATAATATTTGAAATCAAGACTCGTATCTATCACCTTTCACATGCGGGCAATTCTGTTCGTTTCTGTTATCTTTGATGAAGTTCTCGCCGGCTGAAACGATGAGGTTCCAATTCACGGTATTCGTAAAACAAAGAGCGGGATTCTTCTCTATGCGTACGCCGCCCCGAGATATCTTTATCAGGTTGGTGAGGCCGATCTACGAAAAAGTTTTCGCAGGAGATTAGCTGTGGAATTACGTGTCAGAGGTCGAACGACCGGTTAATTTGATTGACTGATTAATATCACTTGACCCGAACATTTGACCGGGCCTTAGGCATCAGACTGGGCCATATAGTTTCAAACTAAGACTCGACTTGATTCGGCGTGGGAATGAACGATTGTGATATGGATTGTACGTGACGAGCGTCATGTGCGCGCGGATAAAAATCCTTCGCGGCGTTCGTATACGATACGTAAGTTGTGCTCATACAATACCGTTTGTTTTTAACACGTCGACATTGGGATTCGACGAACTCGTAACTGAGTATCGAAAATTCTCGATCTTTCTGCGATCTTTTATTTTAATTTTTAATTTTTTCCTTTTATTGAATTGCTCAATAAAAGTCCCAAGTCCATCTTCAAAAGTCCTAAGTCTATCTTCGCCACTTAGATGAAAGTTAACGTCTTCGAGATAACGTTGAAGTTATGCGCGGGCCGTTATAACCCAATTAAAATCTCGCTCGGGATAATTTTATTATTCGAGAAAATAGAGCGCAAAGATGAGATAGCGAAGTTAAGAAATAAGAAGTTGAAGTAGCGGGAAGTAGAGCAGAGGAGTCTGCACGAAGCTCGAATGAATCTTACCTCCTGCAGGTTCTTCATCTCGTAAATCATGAAGGCGTAATCCGTGAGGAGTATATCACCCCTGATGACTTCGAGATTCGGGAACAGCTTCGTGAGGCTTCTCAGACCTTCCACGCGATACAGAAGGAAGTAGCCGGTGATTTCTCTCAGCTCCGGGAAGCTAACGTTTTCGAAGTCCGCCTCGGTGTTGTTCTCGATCAGTACGATTTGCAGGAAACCCTCGACGACGCGGCAGTCCTTTAATACCGAGAACGAGTCAACGTTGTTCCTGATATCTATGCTCTGACAAATACCGTCCCCGATCGTCATGTTCTTGGGTCTTCGTCCTTTCTCTCGTCCTACCTCCTCGCTCGATTTCGTGTGCGACTTGGGTAGATTCGACGATTGACTAGACTGCTGATTGTTTTTTAACCCGATATCCGTAGATCTGAAACAATCAAGTTTTTCATTAATTCGTTTTACAGTTCGAATGTTGGTGGAATTATTTCAAAGCGAGATAACTTCTTCACTTTTTTTCTAGGGAATCTAAAGAGAGTTTCAATACAATTAAATTTATCGGTTCCTCCTCTTTTCGGTTTTCCTTTTTTTTCACGAGTATCTCACGAGCTTTCAATAATTCGAACGAATCTCAAATCATCAATATGTTTTATAGAAGTTCCTCGAAAGTATGATTCTTTTTAAACCGTTTTTTTTTTTTTTTCATAACTTTAATCACTTGATTCGATAGAAATCGCAATCTTCATTTAACGATAGTAAAACGAAATACGGTAATTTTATTTTCCGCTTAGCATTCAAGTGTTCCTCTCATTCAGAAAATATTCAAATAAAAATACGCTCCGCGAGGTTAAAAAGGACCACTTGCATTTAAATGATACCCTTTGTACATAATAGTACCACGAATTATTCGTTCGACAAAGTAAAATTAGCAAGGCATTTAAAAGCCGCTAATAACTCTAAGAAGATCAAAGGGAATTTCAACAGGGGCGGGCGCGCAGAGACGTCGCAATCCCGGCCGGCGATACTCGTGATAACCAATTTGAGGGGACTAATTGGTGAAAATAAAATCACTTAGTACTTGTGTTCGAGTAAACGCCGAAGCGCGGCCAGCTTACACCTAAAATCCATCGCTTCAAAACCGTTTCGAGGAGGCAATCAGCAATTTCCGCACACGTGGGCGCCTTCCGCGTTTCGAAAATTTGCGGACGGATATCACGTATCTCTCCAATTACGAAAGAATTTGCTGATATACTGGGTGAACGCGCGCGAAGGTTCAGTTTACATAAAAGATCAAGTAGTTCGTTCATAAGTAAAATGGTTTATTCAATCGATCTCCCAATAAGCTTCACTCTTTTCTAGAATTTCTCTCCGTCAACATTCTTTGGCAATATACATTACACATTTAAAAGGACTTGTATAAGCATTTATAGGAATTCCAAGTAAATAAATAAACAAATAAATAAAGAAATATATCGAATATTACACGGAATTTTATTTTAAAATTTACACTGAAGATCATATTAATCATAGAACAACATAGTATTTCGACGAATTTTATATGATTTTCACTATTTTTTTTAATACATACTACAACAAATTTATTGTAGTGTACAGTAAAATTTGTCGAAATACTATGTTGTCCCACGATTAACAAAATTTTCAGGATAAATTTTAAAAGAAAATTCTCTCCGTGTATCTTTACTAGTATTTTAAATGCCAAATTTATAAGAGTATCAAAACGTCCTTGTAAATATATTTACTGAAATACCAAAAATATCGAAAGGACCACCAAAATTCATACTTCTACGGATTTTATGATGACATACCTGGAGTTATCGATCGCTCTGTTGTTCCTAGCGGCCAAGGTGTCCAGAAATCCAGATTCGTAGGAAGAGTCATCCTCCCCTCCCTCGTCTTGTCTGCGTAATCAGGGCTGTACTTGCCCTTGGCGCTTTTATCCCGGTGCTTCGTGGCCGTTTTCGGCCACCTTTTCTCCTGGCAGAGCGCCAGGCCCACCACCATGACGCACAGCAGAACGATCGGCAGCAGCGACTTCCTCGTCCTCATCTCCTTGTCTCATTGAACACCGCGCGCTTGAAAGCCTCCCGTTGAACGTTCCCGACCTTATCCCCACGTGCCGCCCCGACCACCACTTTCGTTTTCTTTGATTGATCGACGATTGATAGTCGACCCTGCGAACTCGTCCCTACTCCTCTTCCTTCGTCCGCCTTTTCCTCCCCCGCCCACAGCCTCGATCGTGTCCGATTGTTCGACCTTTTTCTTGGGCTTCTCAAAGGCGATAATTAGTAGACTGCAAAACGGATCGTAATACTCTATTTAAAGGAGAAACGCCATTCAACTATATGTCGATAATAATGCTTCGTCTCGCTGCCGTTTTTAACCCAGAATTTAAACAAAAGAAGAAATAGTAAGCTAGAGAATATTAGCCATTTATTGCGATCAGAGTTATACCGTGTGAAAAAGAATGGAACGAATAAGCTATAATAAATGTTTGTGCGTTCTGTAGTAATTGACCCTCTTAACTCACGAGTTCTATGTTAGAATTAAATGCTTAAGCAATTTACAAAATGTCAGATGGAATGTGCAGTATTATTCCTCTGCTTTCCAATTTCTGAGGCTAATAATGAAATATATATCCGAGTAATAGTACACGTAAAAGGAAAAAAATATATCTTTCCTCTCTTGTCTGGAATTACATCCAAAACTTGTTAAAATTGGACGTATAAAACGCTATCCCCCCCTCCCCCCCTCCCCCGATAACTCAAGAGAACGTAAAATTCGGGTAGAATTTATATCCCGTTCCATTTTAAATGAATACCACTCGTACACACAATTCTCCTGCCGTACCTGCGGATTAAAAGCGACGCAGTTCTCCCCCACGAGAAAAACACTCTGGGTTATTCCGCGCTCTTGTCCTCCTCCTCCTCCTCCGTCCCTTCCTCCTTCCTCCCTCAAGGAGGTAATCGATCGATCGTCCGCGTTCGTCCAGGCTCGCGTGAACCTTCTCCGATTCTCCCTCCCCCGTGCGGGCTCCGGGTAACCCGGTTTCAAACTCACGGGGGTGTTTCCTTTCCCGGAAGAAATCAGAAGTCTTGAGGTCGCGCGAGTTCCCCGCAAAGGTTGCGTACAACAAGTAAACGCTGACCGCGGCTGCCGCCTTCGAGTTATCTTCACAGCGCCTTCTTATTGAGAACGAAGTACATTTTGGCCTTCATAATTGCGCCGTCGTCGCACGCCGTAATTATCTGTCGAAACAAAAGTCGAAACGTGACGTTTAGCATGGCGCGCTGTTTCGGTCTGTTTGCTATGAGAAATCGAGAAACAGTGACGACTGTGACTGTCACAACTTCAATAAATTCAATATAGATAGATTTTAGAAGTGCTAGAAGCTTAAAAGATATATAAAATGTAGCACACTTCTCAAATGTCGCAATTATCGTATATATGCGTCTGTCTTATTCCTTTTTACAGCACACGTTTTCTACAAGTGCAATGTAAAATAGATATGTAAGAACTATGCTACATATACATATACACACATACACACATACACACGCAGTTATACTTAATTTAATTAGTTAAATTTGCATATTGTGCTTGAGAGGATATTTAAGCGTATCCGCTAATTAGGGTTATATAAAAATGCGACGACGAGTTCTAAACTAATTCGCAAGTTAATATGGTAATATTGAGGCACATTCACGCTCGACATAATTTCTATACAGTTTTTTCTGACTGTGCATTTTTTTATAATTGAATATTCCCTTGATAGCTTCAAATGAGTGACATTTAAATAAAAACGGAAATATTAGTTGTTGCCTTTAATTAATTCTATTAGATAACAAAAAGGTAAATGATAATTTGATTAAAATATGAAATTAAAAGCGGCAATTTCTTTGTAAATATTCAACTTTGAGTAAAAAACATGATTAAATTTAGGAAAATATGAAGCCCCCGTGATGTAATTAATTATAACTAATTACATGTGATATAACCGATATAACTAATTATAATAGTTTGGTGTCGCCATCGCTCGATTTTAATTAAATATCGCGGTTAAAATTGGCAGTGACATGTAGCCATTGTGTAGAAATGCGGTACGGAGAAAATTATATCAAAATTATGAATGCATGTTAAGTTATTCCAAACGTATGTTAATAATACATTCTCGGATTTTCATCTATTATCACGTAATAAACTTTCATTGTGCGTCTGTAATCCGCAACCTTTATACGCGCGCACAATGTAATTACCATATTTCATATACGCAAAATGAGTACATTCTGTATTATATCTCAGGTAGAGATCTGGTTAATTAACTCAGGCGTAGATATGCACGTTGTTGAAATTCAAATAAAAGCGCATCTATATCAAATGTTACGATCTTTGCTGGCAACATTAATAATATCCGTCGAACTGTGCGACCTTTCCGAAAAGGATAAGAGAGAAATCTAATTTTGATTTCTCGTTTTCGACAAACCGGTCTGAATTAACTGGTAACATATCACATAGTTTACGCGAGATGTTGCAACATATTGCAAATACTTGCTTGCTGCAATTTATTTTATCGCGTACGCTTCTCTATCTCAAAGTTCTGTATGTAATTACAGTGAATCAAGTTCTCTATTTGGATTGCCATCAAAGAGGCGCACTAATTAGGCGTGCTCACCAATTAGAATTAGGCAAACCTTGCACGTAAATGACATGTTTAAGCATTTTTAATAAGCGCCGAGATTTTGTCGCCGAAAATGCAAGCTAAATCAGAGAAGCTAAACGAGGGAAACTTCGATGTGTCCGCTCCTATAGTCTTTGCAAAGTATAATTTTGAACTTGTAAGTAATTTTGGACGAAGTAGAGTATAATTTTGAGCCTCATAACGCGAGAGGCTCTTTGACAAATTGAGAGCTTAAGTTTTATTAGACTAATTTGCATACAAAGTGATTCTAAAACATGCTGTTAAAGGCAAGATGTGCTCTTTGACATGTTTGAGAGCGATTTTCCTCGGCGTCTTGCCACATTCTTCCTATCTTTTAATTTTCATTAAGTAACCTCGTAATTATTTCTCAAACTAAAAATTTGTTATACCGCTAAATTCTATAGCGGAACCTTACTTGAAATTAAACCAAGTGAGAGCCGGGGAGGGGAAATAAAGCTTGTTTTCTATATTCGAAATTTAATTACCGAGATATTTACCGCTCCGCCTGTAACAAGAAAGGTCATTGATGCTTCTTACGTTAAACGTCAAAGAAAAAGTCGACTCCAGATTGGAGAAGGTACGATTATTGACGGTAAAGTTTAATGGCTTGATTTCGAATCACGTAGACTCCCGGACCCCGGGAGGTTGATTCGTTTCTCTCATTTACCCGATCCTCTCCGACCCTCCCGCCAACCTCCACCGCCGGCGACCGTTCGTTTTTCTACCCGGACTCGCGCGCTCTTTACTCTGGCAATGCCGGTTACTTACAACGTCCATTTCGGATTACGACGTCAGCAACAAGGAAAATCGCGCGGACAGTTCTGGGAAACTTAAAACCGTCCGTCGAGCGAGCGATCGTTCGTCGAAGAGGCATTCTTCGGTTCGGTGCACTCTAAAAGTGAATCAGTGGAATTATCACTGATTTTCAGTATATATCATTTCCCAGGGGCATTCTTAGAACCGAACTGAAATTCTTTCACAAGTGATATTCTCACCGTTCAAAGTATATTATCGGTATATTATCAGTTCAGTATATTATCACTGAAAGAACATTGAAATCACGGATTATCACAGTTCTAGGTATTCTGGAAAATGGTACACACTGCAAATCAGTGGTAATTCCCTGAGTTGATTCACTTTTAAAGAGTAAGGGGCAGCTCCACGAGAGAAATTTCCATGTGCATAAATTTCGCATGTTAACAATTACTTCAATGTATCGAATCGATCTATGGTAGAAACGAGAATGTGGAAATTGCAGTTACGAGACGTCGGGTCTCGGTCTAGTATAGCAGTCACGACGGTAGTCCCTATCATATTTCGTCGTTCTGCCGCATTTTATAAGGCCTTTATGAAACCAGAGTGATTCTCTCCACGAGGAGGAAGTTATTCGTGTGAACGTTGCGAGAATCATAAGTAATATTCGCGCGTATTCTTCCTTGTTGCCGTTTCTGCTGTCGGGCGGAAGTTGAGACACGACGGTCGACTACACTGACACCGGTTATCTTGCGAATCGTCAGTAGTAATTTCAACGAGCATGACGTCCACTTTTCTTTTACTTTTAATAGTTTTATCCTGCAGGATTATCGTATGTTAAAGATTTAATTAGATGTATACATTATATAATAATAGGACAATGGTGCTAATATATAGGCCAAAAACGAGCAAAAAAAAACAAATTTTAAATATAAAAGTACAACTTAATATTAAAATTGACAAATATATAGCGAGATCAGTTTTGGCCTAACTCAATCTTCTTCAGTAGCAATATAGAAGCATTGTAATGCGAAAACAATTAAAAATAATGATTCAAAAAACAGAGTCCATGTGGATGGTTAATATAATAATATAAATAAAATTGAGATAAATAATATAAAAGAGAAAATAATATAAGAGAGTAATTTGAGTTCACAGCATCATGAAAGTAAATTGAATATAAATTAAACTTCGTTATAGTTATAAAAATGTACAACATGACAGTTAATTGAATTAATATTTCCCATTCTTGTTAGGCTAATTCCTCTCTCAATATACAGGGTGTCTCGAATCAAAATATTATAGCAAGAAAATCTTGGAACAATCAAGTAAAAAAGTTATTTGGAATTTTTTATTTTAAGCAGTAATTTTTGAGATACAAGAGTTTAAATTGAGCCAATTATAAATTATTCTTAAACGGAAACATGACCGTGAGCACGTCGATAATGTTAATAGCACTTCATGCGTGTACTAATCTATAATTGGCTAAATTTAAACTCTTATATCTCAAAAATTACTTAAAATAAAAATTTGCAAATAACTTTTTTATTTAATTTTTTAAACTTTCTACTTTCTTGCTATTTTGCTATAATATTTTGATTTGCGATTTTCGGGACACCCTGTATATACTGCATATAATAATATATGTATAATAGATTCTCAAACAATTAATATATTCCAGCGCGTGAAGATTTAGGAATAAGATACGCATAATAATGGAAGTTTAATTGGGAATTTAGAAATTATTATACAATAAATGCTCACACATAGATTAATTTTGTTCCTTCGATAAAAAGAGGCATTTAATTACTTTAAAATTGAAATCGCGAAGTAAGTATTCTCATCACGACGTCGAAATCGTAAAGGTATGGTTTAGAAGTTATTCTGGATTTCAACGAAGGGGAAGGGGGAGGGTTCTTTCAATGGTTGCCGTCATTATTCACGGTCTTACAAGCAATGCCGCGTTTCGAAAGGCGCCCCCGCTTTATAAAGTTTCGAAAGTGGTTTCGTTGACGACGAGAGGAAAGCGATCTCGCGGGCGCGCGCGCGCGCGGGGGAGGAAACTCGCGAAGCTGCGATGATCGTCGGTGCGAATCTCCGCGCTTCTGACGTCATAATCCACCCGCGGTTGATGAGTAGGTAGGAAGATGGATATTGTACGGACGACGAGAAGGGTCCCGAGAATAAGAGAAAGAATATTCAACGCTAAAAATTAAGGAAGTTTGCAGAAAGAGATGAAGCTGAACGAAATTTTTCTCGCATACACACACACACTCACACACACACGCGCGCGCGCGCGCGCGGATTCTCTCGGTTTAAATCACCACTTCATCACCCTGCCTAGCAGATAACTGTGTCGTCGGCCACTTAGTTGCTCGCGCGCGACTCGGGCGAATATCTTAATTCGCCGTATAAATATCGCGATAACGATCGCAAGAAAACGAGAGGAAAGGGGGGGATGAGAAGAAAGAGGAGAGGCATCGTCGTCGTCGTCGTTGGCGTCGGCGGCGGCGGCGCCGATTAAAAGCCGGATACACGTACGATAAAACACGAGAACTTGTTCCGCGATAAGCCCGCACCTGAGAAGCGGAAGAATCTACGTCCGTAAACTTATTCTTTTCTGGAGGGGTAGCGGAGGCGGAAGAAGGAAGAGAAAAAGAGAAAGAGGGAAGCCACCGAAAGTACGGAATTATGGAGGGCTTTCGCGATAAGTTAAATACACACGTGCATAAATTCAGCCGATTTTATGCTGTACATATGTTATGAAGTAATGGAGATCCTTAAGTAGGTCTTATT